TGTCAAGATAGTCCTGAACTTTCATTAGTTATCCAGGATAAATCAAAGTGCAATCTGAAGTTTGGTAAGTATAATACGATTAATTACAAAATTTATTTTCTTATTTGAATTATCAGTATTTATTTCCTTCGAATTTCTTTTAAATCAAATACTGTGTAATTTACATATTCATGTTAACGTTAAAAAAGTTTGGCATTATATTATTTGCATTGCTCGATAACCTTGAGGTTCATGGAAAATTGTGTACAGTGTACAGAACTGAAATAATGTTTTATGTTTCTCATTTCGGCTGTATAAACATGTTCTTTTCCGACTATTACATACTGAGATGTTCAGGTTAAAGATATTTAGAAATCGCAAATGAATAGGCCTCTGCTGCTGTCCTGACAAATTATTCCATATTTCACACTGCATAGCCAGTGGCTCAATTAGATAAGTGGTCCTCCCCTGACAATTGTTTTTTAAATTATGCTCTCATGCTTTCTCTTATGTTTTTCTTGGGAGGGGGGCCCGTCAGATCTTAGTTTCTACACTGACATCGCTTGATTACCTTTGTTAGTAAACATATTTTGCCTGTTATTTTAATGGACATATAGTTTCCAATATTATACCATACAACTTTGAGATTGAGTTACATGACTAGGTAAATAAAAATATTAATTCTAATTGTTTAAAGAATACTTCAGAGCTTAAAACTCTTAAATCTTCAAATATATTTATTATAGTAATAAGTGCAGCCGAGAAAACAGTCCTGTATCATATAATTGGAATGGTGCTGGTAGGAACTGTCATTCTTTTCCAATTATAAACGAAGAAAAAGAAACAACTCTAGCTTGGTCTTCAATAGTGGTATGGTTAAGTATAGAATATACCAATTCTCTATGTTAATACATCGATTAAAATGTACCAAAAGTTAGAAACAGATGTAACAATAATTTATTTTGTATTTTTGTGACAACACTAAGGAGAAATCTATGGTTTATAATGAATCATAGGTTATATATTACGATTTGATTACCGCCCCTGATGTATCCGAGTTTCATCAAACATTGATTCAATGCAGATCTTGAAATGAAACTTTTGTGGGTTGCTTCACTTGCCATTTACGAGGCAATTTATTTGTAAGAAAATTTATAATACTGATGCATTGAATAACTCGATACGACCGTATGTAAGATGTTCAGGGGTATATTGTTAAATTATTATTAGCCAAATTTCAACAAGTTTCTTAATCGATAAATTATTGTCCGTCCGTCTGCCCGTCAGTCATTGGCTCGAATTTCGAATTTGACGATTTTTCGATGACCTTTTTCGAGTTATTGCCGATGACTTAGTAAAAACCTTCAAAATTTGTTCCTTCAAAATTTGTTTGTGAACACAATGGAGACAATTAAATTCGGTGTTATCATTTATAATCAGGTTTGAATTTGAATACATTTTATGTTATATGTGGCTTGTGAACGCGATAGAAGTGACTGTTTATGTCAGAACATTATGAAATTTTGTGTTGGTTTAAATCAACAATATCTTTGACAAATTTTGTAAAGATCGAGTGAAAACTACAGAGCCAAGCGCATGTCATTTAGTTACATGTTGAGTTTTCATTTTGTAATTTGTCTTTTCTGCATTAATAATCGACACTGCCGATTTTATTTTCAAAAATATTTCTGGACAAAAAATCTGTGTTACAATGAAACAAACCACAACAGTAAGCTATGTCTAACAATTGAATACAAACAATTGAATTCTTGTGTTGCGACACTCTCTTTCGCAATAAGGTATATTTAATATCAAATTTGACTATAATGTAAATGTAATAATGTATTATTTATTAATTTATGTATGCATCGCTGTGTCAACATCCTATTCAATCTAATGACCCCCTTTGTCCCACTAAATTCCGAAATTAATAATGTGATTTTATGGGTGGATGTAGATCCTCTGGCGAATCTAATTGAAGCAACGAGATCTTCAATATTAGCCATCATTTGATTGTGCACTACTATCGATTCTACTACTATATTGTTGACTTGCGCGGTTGGAATCTGTTACTATGCAGTTGATCGCAGCATCTTCACGATGCCAAGCTATTACGAACTTTAAGACAAAGTAATAGCTTGACTAGCGGTAACTATGAGTTGGTCAATGATTCCCCTCTTTGAATCGCCAGTCGATGTGATCCCACCTTTGATAAAGTTGATATTATTTGTATGTACTTTAGTACATATATTTATTTGTTTATTTATATTCTTGTAATATTATATGTATTGCTTTATCTTTTTAAGGTCACAAAATCGTATAAATGGCTTTATTTAACATAACAATCAAATGGCTCTTGCACAAGTTGCTGGTATTTAAAAGGATATAGTTGTTAAAATACAACTTTAAAAAATAATTTCTCTATACCTACCTATAGGCACTGAAATTCTTATCAAACATAAATAAACTGTCATAATATATTGAACTACAGAATTTACGTTTGGCTTTAATCATAATCTGAAAATTAAATTATCAGTCTTCCAAAATGGCTTAATTCTTATGAATTTTACAGACAATAATGGCATTCCATTTAATGCTCAATTATGAGGAAATATAAAATAAATATTGAATATGAAAAATTTGTAAAATCCTACATTATCATTCATATTAGTATATATATTTTTAAAGTTTTTATATAACATTGGCCCGTATGCACCATATATAATCAAATTAAGAAGAATATACTTATTTTAAACCACCTTAAATAGATTTAGTTAAATGTATTTAAAGATAATTCTATTTTTTGTATGCACCAACTAACAATTAACTAAATATATTTATCTGTACTGTAATTGATATTCAATTTCCCATTCGAACCACACACTATACACAATCTATATATGACAAAAGAGTCAAAGATTGGTCACTAAGACATTTCCTATTTAATATTTTAATCACTGCTGTATGTAGTGTGGATGTCTTGTAGTCCGAAACTCTATATACTCTCATCTGGTGTCTTACAGCTTTTATGACAATTATCAACAAGAGTAAGATCAAACGATATCTTTAATTCTCTCTATTCTTCGAAGGAGCAAATGAACGTCATAATAAATTTGATATGGAATCCATGTCATTTTTCATTTTTTCAAACTATTAGTAATAGTCAACACCGATTGCTTATTCAATCTGAACCTTGCTTTAAATTCCTCCTCCGAAAACCATGTGAAGGGGTCCAGGCGATCCCTGACATGTCTACTGATGGGAATAACACGGTTGATTTCACCAAGTTCATCTAAATCGTCGAAATAATCGTCCATTTTGAAACATTGAAGAGCCACAAAAGAAATTTCTACTGATTTACCAATAGAATAAACTTTAAGTTTAGCATTAAATTAGCCAATTTTTAAATACATTTAAGGTAATTCTATGTGGTGCATACAAAATATAGAATTAAATTAAAAGTTAATTTTATTCGGGCAGAATATAATTAAATTAGGCTTAATTTCATTTGGTGCATACGGGCCAATTATCTTATTTTTTATAATCATTTTTTATAAATCAATACTGATATGTTTGCTAAATAAATATTTTTAACAGTTTTGTATACATGTATTTTCATTGTTATTGCTCCAGTCGGCATTTCTGCCTTCCGACATTGTTCTCTGTCCGATTGGTTCTGATTGACTAAACTATAACGTCAACATCCTTTGTGTTTTTTTCTCGGGGATCTTTATGTATGTAATATCCTGAAAATCTACAACCACGCATTGTGTTATTAAATTTTTTACCAAAGATTAAATGGTATCTTAAGCCAAACTGGATTGTTGGAATAGGCTAACCATTAAGGAGAGTCGTGCGACATCTGAAAACCTTGTCCATTTACCAAGCAGTTTACCAAAGTTATGAAATATGGAAGAATCTACTTAATGTGCTTGTGAAGTTTATTGGCTATATTGGAGTTTTCTTGAACAATAGGTGTAAAACAAAACGTTCTGTGAGAGATTTATTCAAGAGTTTCAATGAAACGATATTAGAATTAAACTATTAAATGCAATGTAAAATACCACGAGAACATGTACACATCGTACCATCAAATTTCATAACACTTTCTCTATCGTGTAGACAAGTTTCCTCTACAGCACACCCTGTAAGAACAAAAAAACATGGTTCACTGAATTACAACTAATGCAGAATAATAGGAGCTTCTCAACTTTATCCACCATCTAAGTATTTTTTTTTTACAAAAGAGTCTAATAATCCATGTCTACTTTAACATAATTCGCTTGATGTAGTTTAAAGGGACAGTTGCGCCATCTTGGGGGATTTATTTTAGTCTTGAATATAAGTAATTAGTCTTCAGAAGTACTAGAAATGTACGCATAATTCCTTTAAAAATACACGGAATTAGGAATTTTACTCACTATTTCTATAATGTCTTTTCTAGATAATTCTCGACGCAAATGGATTTGAAGGCACAAATTTCGACGGCGATCAAACACTATTACTGATTGGTTCAGCTATAAAGTTCCCGTTTCTGAGACTCAAGTATGATTGATAAAAAATGTCGCATCAGTCCCTTTAATAAAGCTCTTAGAAAAAGTAACTTGTTTTACCTGAAGTAATTTCCCATCCATTTTGTTCTTCGGAACACTTCCATGTTACACAGTTATTCTTTCTCAATTCTGTATTTCTTTCATAGCACCTTCCTTCATCGCTGCACTGTACTGAAAGACGATAACAATGCCATGGCTATCCGGATGAATAACATATTAAATCAAAAAGACATGAAAAAATGTCACAGATAATAATAGGATCATATAATGTCATTTTTGTTATGAAATTGAAATATTCTTCTTCACCTAAACGTCCAAAATCTACAAGCCACCACAGCATGAGGCAATGAATTTAGTTAAGATTTGAAAGTATAGAGGCATAGAATCAATTTTACCGTAAGTCTAGGGTCGTAACTAAAAGAAATACCTCTTAGTATGACCAAAAAATTGCAATAGTTCAACTTGGCCGAAATGAGTCATTGTTCATCAGTAGACTTACCTGGTTTCATAACTATACAGAATAACATAACAGAATACCTTTATTACACATCAAATCTATAAACTAAGTAATATTTGCTTAGAGGCGTGTTTCAATAATTACTTAGTTTAATGAATATGTCGCCTTAAGCAGGCCTCACGCTACACGATTTTCCCTACGATTGTGCACGTTACGACAAGCCGAGACATCGTAGAACAAACAAATTGAATCGTATCGCAGACTATCGTGCTATCCATCCCTCACACTACACGACTTAACTTAAGCAAGGTTGCCAACCAATGTGCGTCATCAACGATGACAAATATGGAATGAAACCTTGCCCCTTGCTTGTGGGGTTTTCGATTATCCGTTCACATAAGAAAAGACAACCCAAAAAATGGATTCGCAAGGAGACTGGACAGGAGAGTTAGGAATGTCTTATTCCAACTTGTGCACCTCTGCGTATACCAGGAATTGTTTGATAAATAATCCCACCCCTTCGTTGTTCAACAAGAAACAGAGAACAGACGCTAAAACTTTATGCCATTTTTAGTAACTGAACTTGATGGGGATGGTGTTTAGTTTCCTACAACTAGGATGCTTGCACCGCCGTGAAATATTCTTGAGTCAAGTATAAAACATGAAGCTAAGCAAAGATCTAATCGATCAATCAATCTATTATTCTTTCTAGGCCACACCTGTAGAAATCGCATAGTGTGAGGCCTGCTTTGTATAGAGATGCTATTCTCTAGTCATGGCATCATGGTAAGTCCAATGATAAATAATATGTTCGATTATTGACCAAATTCGAGAAATTTTATGTCGATTTTAAGAGGTAGTATCCTTTAAAACCCGGTACGAAAACGATGTGTTATACTTCTATTATTAAAAATATGAAAATTAATAACATACATGAACCACTGGCAAAATCGAGGTGAGGTGGATTTCCTTCTATACAGTAATATGTTCTACAAACACCTTTGCTTTTATCAATGAAGATCCCACCAATCGTAATTTCATTTCCATTTTTGTGGCAAACTGAAACAAGCGAGTTTTTGATCAAAAATTATAATGATATATTTTCAACAATTCACATGTCCACTTTTATATGCTAAAATCTTCACGGTGTTTTTTCCACATATTTCACTTATATACAATATCAAATGTCTGTTTGACCTGTTAGTAACATTTTTTCTTAAAATAATATAACGTCGGTGATCGTTTTGTTTTTGCCTTCCTATTTGTCGAGTTTGTTTTGTATGCTGTAGGTTTTAGGGATGTCTATGTCTAATTGGACAAGATATATTTAAACATGTAACAGTCTCGGTTTCAACCAACTTTAGTTTGGAGTTAATACCTACCTTGACGTTCAGGCAGAACGGAACCGTGAATGGTTGTAGTAGCACAAAATAGTATAAAAACTAAAGACTTCATTTTAACAGGTGCTGAAACACTATGAAATTTAGTTAATTTGGTAGAGACCTTCATGTGGTTGACAAAATACAAATCAACATGTACAAATAATACATACGAAAAGTATACGAAATAACCTTAATGAGAATATTTCTCAATAATGAAATAGGAGTACTGTGAATAGCAATGAAATGAGGATATTGAGGAAAGCAATAAAATGAGAATATTCTGAACAAAAATTAAATGGAAATATTGTGAATAATAATTAATGGGAATATTATGAGTCGTAATTTAATGAGAATAGTGTAAATAGCAAGGAAATGGAAATATTGTGAATAATAATTAATGGGAATATTATGAGTAGTAATTTAATGAGAAAAGTGTAAATAGCAAGGAAATGGAAATATTGTGAATAATAATTAATGGGAATATTATGAGTAGTAATTTAATGAGAATAGTGTAAATAGAAAGGAAATGGAAATATTGTGAATAGTATCTAATGGGAATATTGTGAGTAGCAATTTAATGAGAATATTGTAAATAGCAAGGAAATGGAAATATTGTGAATAGTATCTAATGTGAATATTGTGAGTAGTAATTTAATGAGAATAGTGTAAATAGCAAGGAAATGGAAATATTGTGAATAGTATCTAATGGGAATATTATGAGTAGTAATTTAATGAGAATAGTGTAAATAGCAAGGAAATGGAAATATTGTGAATAGTATCTAATGGGAATATTGTGAGTAGTAATTTAATGAGAATAGTGTAAATAGCAAGGAAATGGATATATTGTGAATAGTATCTAATGGGAATTTTATGAGTAGTAATTTAATGAGAATAGTGTAAATAGCAAGGAAATGGATATATTGTGAATAATAATTAATGGGAATTTTATGAGTAGTAATTTAATGAGAATAGTGTAAATAGCAAGGAAATGGATATATTGTGAATAATAATTAATGGGAATTTTATGAGTAGTAATTTAATGAGAATAGTGTTAATAGCAAGGAAATGGAAATATTGTGAATAATATTAAGGGGAATATTACGAGTAGTAATTTTATGAGAATAGTGTAAATAATAATTAATGGGAATATTACGAGTCGTAATTAAATAGTGTAAATAGCAATAATATTAAGGGAAATATTACGAGTAGTAATTTTATGAGAATAGTGTAAATAATAATTAATGGGAATATTACGAGTCGTAATTAAATAGTGTAAATAGCAAGGAAATGGAAATATTGTGAATAATAATTAATGCTAATAGTGCAAAAAGCAAGGAAATGGAAATATTGTGAATAATATTAAGGGGAATATTACGAGTAGTAATTTTATGAGAATAGTGTAAATAGCAAGGAAATGGAAATATTGTGAAAAGCGTTAGAGTATTTTGTGAATAACAATGAAATTAAATTATTGTAATGGAAATACAGTGAATAGTAATAAATTGAGAATATTGTGAATGACTATAAAATAAGAAAACTGTAAACCTACGTATAACAATATATGGAGAATCGTGTAATTTTAAATATTTCTTACCGTTTCTCAATATATCAACCTACGAAGACGATATAGAATAAACTGGTGTGGACATCAAACTTTCCACAATCAATACGTCTTGATTGATGTATTATTTTAAAGCGAGTTTCTGAGACATTTCGATTTCGGCTCATTCACAGAACAATTCATATTCCGTCCTTGGTAACATTTGAATAGTGAAGGTTAGAACAGGTAAGTCGAAAATTGTACCCAGTTGCATGAAATTTCATCTTTATGACGATGTTGGTCAACTTCTTAACATTCTAGATGATTAGTGTGATATTCGATGCATATTAGGATAACTATATGCGATTTTTGTGTCACTAAGTCGTATTTTCGTCGGGATATTTGATCGGATGACGTTCCCGATTTATCCTCTAATGGTTATGAGATTTTTGTGAATTCAGACTGCTACTAACAGGCTTCGTTAGCTAGACAATCTCTTTAAAATTCAGCTTGTAAAGAAACGTGTAAAAAGTCAATGTTTAAACTATGAGTTGTTCAAATCAATTCGATTTGAATAGAGATGCTTAAATAACAATAAACTGTTAAAAATCTCTATTGATATTTTAACAGACGGTAATATTTTATTGAATGATCAGATTAATAAATAAGTAATAAATTCGCACTCTTTATACATATTTACATTTTAAAGAGCTAATCTCGCCTTTATTTCTGGTGCTGTACTTTGTTTAAGAGCTTTAAACTATTGGCGAAGAATTACTTACTTTTCACAGTCATATCTTTATCAGAGGTCGCAAAAACGTCAACAGCGATATCACGATAATTTTGTTTTAACAACGTTCGATCAAATCCAAATTCATCTACAGATCCCTAACTACACTTTGTTTGTTTTTCAGTACAAAGTTAGACAAAAATTCGGAATAAAAAATTGGGCAACTACAAAAACGTGGATCAAAAAAAGGATGAGTAATATCGCCATAGGTACTACATCATACCAAGTTATGTCAAAACACATACTCATCAGAAGATCACTAGTTCGCGGGAGAGCTCATCAATATACGTAAAAAAAAAATCATAATTCGAGAAATTCGATTAAAATTTTGTTAAATGCATAAAAACAATTCAATTGATACAAGATGATTTAAGCCTTCAACAAAACCTTTTCCAGGTTATAAAATTGTATTTATTATGTTAACCTTTGCTTGACCTCTGCTGACTCAAGTCCCAATGGAAAAGAAGATATTTAACCCCTATTGGTAAAATAACCGTTTTAAAATCTATTATTATACCAAAGTGAACACATCTATTTACCTCCCTTCCTAACCCATCAATTGATTTTATAAAACAACTTAATACTGAATTCTTTGCTTTTATTTGGAACTCAAAAATCGACAAAGTTAAACGCTCAGTCATAGGAGAATGGTGGTTTGAAAATGATAGAACGTGAATCTCTTAAACTCTTTGAAAATAATTTGGATACGCCGAGCATATATCACTGAGCAGTCATTGATAAATATATTTAATGCAAATTTTGGTACAGATAGTTTAAATAATTCAGCTAATTTTGGAGACACTTTTATCAATAAAATAAACATTGAGTGTAAAAATAGTTTTTGGAAAGATGTATTAAATTCATACCAAATATCAAATGTTTTAAAAATTCCCTTATGGTATAATAGTTCATTAAAAATTAATAGTAACCACATATTCTATCAATCATGACACAAAAATGGGGTGACTTTTCTGGGCGATTTGTTTAATAAACAATGTGAATTCTTGTCAAAACAAGAACTAGAAATAAAATATAACTTGAATACAATCATTTTAGAAATACCATGGTCTGATAAACTGTATAAAAAAATATCTCAGAACAAAAAATATCCAAAATACCATAAATACATCACCAACTACACGTCCTATATACCTAGAACAAATTTTAACTTCTTCAGGATGCAAAAATATATATAATCTTTTAACTAAATCAGAGGCCTGTCCAACTGCAATTTTTAAATGGAATAAAATTTTTGATAGTTATGATATTGACTGGAAATTTACTTTTGGTAATAACTTCAATTTAATTCCTGATTCAAATTTACAATGGTTTCAGTTCAGATTGTTACACAGGATTCTACCAACTAAATCGTATCTAAAAAAAATCTCGGAATTTAACTCTTGTATTTTTTGTAATACACATGTAGAAGATTATATACATCTTTTTTTTTCTTGTTCATATGTTTCCTCACTATGGAAAGATTTATCAAACCTTCTCAAGGAAAATAATACTGATTTTGAATTTACAACTACTATTATCTTATTTGTGATAAATAACCATCCACATCAAATTCCTCTAAATATCATGATTTTACTATGTAAATATTTCATCTAAACGATAATCCACCCTCTTTTAGAAACCTAATTACCTATTTACAAAAATATATCTTAATATTACAGACAGGGTCCAAACTAAGTCAAACTACACATGCAATATAATTTATGAATATGTGCAGATCCTTAAAGCCTTAATCGAGAAATAATATGAGCCTATTATATATTTACTTCTGTTTAATATCATTTGATTTTCAATTTATTATAATGAATTATTATAGTTTTATAAGTTATTATTTGATTTAAAATACATATATATGACTCTGTAAGACAATTAGCCAAGGCCCCATCCTTGGTATTGTCAATAATTAAAATGGGAAAATAAAATTGTTACAAAAAAAAAAAAAAAAAAAAAAGTCCGTGTGTTAATGTCGTCACATTATCCTGTCGCTGGAAAGGGCAGCAACGGTCAACAGAATAAAAAGTCAAGAAGGACTGTGATAGACCTTACTTTAGTGGTTACGTACTAAACTAATAGCTAATAAAACGTTCGAAACGAAACTAATAAAATACGAACGGAAGTTAGGTTTAATTTTAATTAGACTGTGTCTGATAACGCGGTCCAGTGGTGCATAGAATCGATGTCCAATAATATTGAAAGTCAACTCGTGTCTCACCTGAAAAAATCTACTAAGATAGCATTTGTTGTCGACTAATCCACTGATGTCGCTTCTCTCAGTCAGTTAGTCGTGTCGGTACGATATTTGGTTGTGGAGAGCAATAGAAGAAAAGAAGATTTGATGATTTGCAAGCCACTTGAAACAACCACAAAGGGCATTGATGTAATTAACCTCGTTTCTGTCTTTATGACTAGTAATAAAATAAATTAGGGAAAAGTTTATGGAAGTTGTACTGATGGTGCACCAGCTATGTTGGGAGTTAGATCCGGATTCCAGAAACTGCCTTCACTGTTCAATGTATGATACATCGTGAAACCCTGGCGGCGAAAACATTCCCTAATTAGTTAAGAGTAGTTTTGTGGTAAGTGATACCAATTTTGAATCATATCAAGTCCAGTGGTCTGAATACTCGTCTATTTCGACAGTTCTGTCAGAGAATGGAATATTAATCTTCTATTTTACATTGAGGTTCATTGTCTATCACGTGGAAATATGGTGCAACTTGTCATCGAACTAAGGAATGGGAGTTCATGCTGAATAACGAGAACTGGCTGTGTAAACTTTGTTACATAAGTAACATTTTTGAGAATCTTAATATTCTGAATAAATCGCTTCGGGTAAAGGGAGTCCGACATCATGACAAGCTGAAAGGTTTCATGCGGTCGCTAAACTTGATGGCGCGAAAATTTAGACCCGATCGGTATGCTCTGTTGCCAAGACTCGCAGAATATCTTGAAGATCACGGAAACGTACTTTTCCCTGATATGAAGGAAATCTGTGAAGAACATCTTCTGTCGTTGAAGGCTGAGTTCAGAAGATATTTTCTGGAACTAAATGCTCAACAATTCGCACTAGTGCGCAATCCGTTTGAAGTTCAAGTTGATGGTGGTGAAGATATTGTTGGCGCTGACGATCACGTTGAAAATGAACTGATACCATATTACAACCGATACCAATGTCAAAGCCATGTATAGTAGTTACACGCGGTTAAAATTCTGGTGCACCATGAGACATGACTATCCGGAACTGGCAAAGATTGCGTTGTGTAAAATACTTCCGTTCCCATCAACTTACATTTTTCTTATGGGGACATTGTTCCCTTGCTGATTCAATATGTGGACGCATAGAAGAATGTTTTGAAAACCGCTGATAAAATGAACGCAAATTAGATCAAACATTGTCAATCACAATTAACTTGTGCTGGAAATATTTGTTTTGAATATACTTTAAATACAATTGAATTAGCCGACTGTTTTAACCGAGGCCAGTAGAGCTTGCAGATGACCACCATTTAGAATGCATCTTATCTGGATGGCCGTCAGTTTTCAATTACTAGTACACTGTTTGTATGTACAGAAAAAAATTAAGGTTTTTACACCATCTTATTCTAAAGATATATTGGTATAGATAAAAGTTCGTTTGAAATAAAGTAGCAGGGGAGGGTGCGGCAAAACCAAACAAGATGTAACAACTTAAATCAGTCGTTAAATCCAGTGCAATTCTTTTCCTAGTAGAAATCATCAGAAAACAATCCGATCTGTTGTGAAAAGAGCAACATTCGGATGTGGTGTGACATCTAGAATTATCTTAAATCAAAATAAAACTTGAACTTGGATTTTGATTAGGAGTGACTTCCGTTTTTACATTTTTTTTTATACAATATCAATATGTATTTCTTACATATGTGCGGTCATTGAATATCTGTAAATAACACATAATTGTACGATTTACTTGTTCGGCTATAATGGAAATAACGCTTTTATGCTGATTAACATTTAATACATTCAATAGATTATTAAACAATACATAATGGGATAGATAAGAGATTAACATGTATAACTAATCATTAAAAACCAAAAGTACCTTCATAATGGATTAATCAACTGTTTAATAGTAACAATATATCAATCTTTTATTGTCGGTCAAACCAACCTTATTATAAATTACTGAGGGCGAATAAATCCCTTAAGAGTACTAAAAAGCGTAAACAAACTTTCAAGTAACAAAGTGCTCGATGTGTAAATTAAATTGCGCGACTCGATATATCAATTAAATTCAATGTTTAAAGTTGCGACCTTTGTAGTGTTTTCATAAATTTTGGATACATTTGAATTTTCTTAAAGACTGATGTCATGTGGTTTAAACCGATGAAAACGTCGTATTTGGTCGAATGAAATGCTCATCCGACAGAAGGAAAATAACTCTTTGCCTTCGTCAACATAAAAAAATTTCTTTAAACTCATGAAGGGTACAATTCATTTTCAATACAGTGAACCAACATAGCAACAAAATATGAAACCTCAATAAAGTCCGCCCATCAACTTTTCAATATAATTAACGATTGATAAGCGACCACCTTCATGATGCGACCAGCGACCATGTATTTACACCCCGTGAAATCAAAATGAGTCAGTTCAGCGACCATAACAGTTCTCATTATCTCCGTTTTATAAAAATAACATACAGGTGAAATTAAAAAAAAAAAACTCATCAACTGTACCATTCACCGTAGTAACAATACTTAACAAGTTGAATTATATTTAAAGGGGCAGTAAGCAAAATTCTTATTATTCAAAACGTCGTAAATTATACATGACAATAAATAAAAATAGGAGGCATATTTCTCTACAATTAGGCGTTCGTTTTGCTTAATTCCGTACGGTAGTTTTCTTACATCTTCCAAAAAGCATAACCAGCTTAAAAGTTTTCGTAAATTTTTAAATAGTTTTTGCGTTGGTAGTTTAACGGCCGATTTTTTTTTTTAGTTAAATGTTCATATACGTTAAGGATACTTATTTCTAGAGTTTTATGTATAGTTCTTACAAATTTGAGCGAAGAAAGAAACCGGAATGTCCCTTTAATGTATTTCAGTGGAGATCTATCAAACAGATTAAACCGCTTAATAATATATATTTATTTATATGTCTTTCGGGACCAAAGTCTCACTGCTGTTGTTAAACCAACGAAGCTTCATTTTTATTTGATAGTTCTCAATAGTGGTTACTCATAAATTAAACACATATCAGCTGTGTGGCTTATGTGCTGATTTCAGATTATAATGTCGAAGAATCATTAATAAGCCTCTTTCTATTTCGGCGGTCATGCAGAAATAATTATAATTTGGCCATTATGAATCGTGAAGTTTGAAACATAAACCTAGGTAATAAACTTAATAGTAATCAAATATACAAATTCCTATATAGTTGTTGATAGTAAAAGATGCTAAGTCTGGTGTGCTTCGAATCGGTCATATATTTTAGATATTGCAATTAAGATTTTCAGACGTTACAATTAATAGTAGTTATAAAGAAAGTTGAGTGGTCATCTAAAGACGTCACATTGACCCCTGTCTTAACAGTTGACTGGATTTATTGTTCAATTATAGTATATTGCGACACAAAGAAAATTGTACGGGTATAGGCCGACCTTTCGTATCAGAAGGACGCTCTTCCTTCATATGGGAATGATAGCCGAACTATTTCTATGTATGAATGTTGTTGCAAAAGACAAGTGTTTATAAAAAGAATAGTATGTGTTTAGTGTAATTAGATTCTGAAATAATCAACATATTTAGTGAATACGGAAAGTGGTTGATTGTCTAAGCTGAACAGGTTGTAGAAAAGTTCAACTCGCATATTAGATATAATATTTGATCTTGCTGTAGACATTTATCAAAATTTGAATCAAAGACCATGTGGAAACAGGGATATATCTCTTTATGTTTGCTGTTAGTTATTTGCTCGAATGGTGAGTTCTTTAATTTTATATCAATACTTTTGTCCCTAGGTCATCACTTGAATCAAATAGTACTTATTGGCCTCACATTTTCAATGGAACGAATTTTATGTTTTTTTCAAGATGAATTAGAATATCAGTTTCAACATGTTAATGGTGGTCTTTGAATGACTCTGCGTTGATAGAAATAGAACTTTTCAACCGAAAATGTTTCCAAATTTTGATTGAAGTAAAAAATAAAAACCAAAGTGATAATAGATGTCCATAATTAAATTTTTGTTTAACGCAACGTTATTCTAAAGCAGGCTATCTGTGATATTCTGAAACCTATATTCCAAAGAAATAGTCAATGAAATTATAAGGCAAAGTATACTAGTGTGTTCTTGAATGCAACATCATTTAATCTGAGCACCTCGCAAATCAGGGAAAAGTTTAACGGGGGTTATTTCCCTTTTTTGTGAGAAACTAAGTCGACTTCGTCCTATTCACGATTATGTAATATGAGGCACATGTATATAGCGGATTGAAACGAAACTTGGTGGCAAGGTTCACCATTCATCGGAAAAGTCCAAGCAACTTAAACAAATTATGACCCCTGTTCTTCTAATCGCAGTAAGATTTCTGCTCAGATCTTGTTTAAATCTCGCTAAGCTTGGTGGAATGGTTAAATCTCTTCCAAAGACCATAGAATTTTAGGTCCACTTACGTCCTTAATGAATGTTGCTAGCAATGTCAACCCTCCTAACTGTAAGACGAAGTTAATTTATTCGGTACCCCTTTCAGAGAGTCCACATTGCTAGTAGTAGTAATGTATAATTGGCATAAAAATAAATTATAAACCGTATATACTCTCAAGGTGACCGTAAAAATACTCAAGTTTAGAATGCAAAGGCCTTTTTGTATTTCTTATTAGTTTGAATGCTTAAATTTCTTTGGAAATTAAAATACGATTCACCATTCTGCGCTTCTAACGGTTTTCTTCAAAATATTGCGTATCATTTAAGATTCACAAGGCGAAACATGAGACAACTCTATGTTTATCTATTTTTCATTCTTTTTCAGCTTTATGCTTTGAGACAAGACAAAGTTGCAGTGGGATTGATTATACGCAGTGCTACGATGTTCCTAAATTCGACGAATCTCTTTCAATGTGGCACTGCTCTTGTGAGTTGTATGGTTTGAGTATGAATGTTTGTGGAGATTTTCTGCATCTTGATGCCAATACAACAGAAAATAGCAGTGACGACTATTTGTTTTCGGACTACATCATCGACAATTCTACTGTCAATGCTAATGACTCATTTGAAGGTCGATATATCCGTTTCTTGGCTAGGTATTCTGAATGTGTAAACGTTGGAAAAAGACAGTATTATACAACGTTTACTATAATTGGCAAATGCCCCGAACATTGGAAAGATGAAGTTGTTCGGACCCAATGTGAAAACCAATCACAAGAGTTACCACCAATTGAATTGAATGCGCAATACAGATTTGTTTTTAGAAATATATTTTGTGCAGTATGTCATGGGTTATCAGAGGATTTCGTTAGAAGCAACGTGATCATCTGGGAAGCAAGTATGAGCTGCTCCAACAACGACAAATTACCATTGGCAGACTCTAAACCACGGATAGATGATTCCCACTGCAGCACCGTTTATTCTAGACCTAAACAAAAGCAAACCAGTGAAGCAAACGGGGAGGATATCATTAACTATGATTGTATCTCATGTGCTGAAGATCTACGCCAAGATACGTCAACTACAAGTTTAAACTGCATTGTGTGTCAGTTAGGAATCTTTCTCTTTGAATTTTCACCACTACCAACTCTACCATTCGAATCACTTTCAGTTCTTTTTGAAATACCTACACAGAAGGAATCGAACATCTTTATAAATGGTGACATTTTTACATCAAGTCAGTTATGTAAGGATGACGAGAATCTCGATCTACTGTATCAGAGATGTCGCAAGTTTGTTTGCCCTGCTGGTCAATTTCCATTAGAAGGCCGGTGTCAGGAGGAGTCTAAAGTGTTTGTATCCCCAGAATTTCAACCCTTTCCTAATAACTCTCGAACGTTCGACATCAATATAACATTTGAAGACAGACTGGCTAATTTATTTGACGTCATAACGTTGATGACGTCTAAAGTAGACATGGAGTTTATTCAAGATTTTGAAGAGGAATTTGCTTCATTGAAAATTGAATCCAATATCCCAATTTCCAAACTGCTAAATAATTGGAGCAAACAACCTATCCGATTTTTGTCTGGAGTAGTTCTTACCTTACAAATGAACAATATAAACCGAACAGATAACGAGACATGTTTGAATGACGATTTCCGATGTATCCAGCATACCCCTGTCTATTTTCTGAACAGTAAACCGTTCTCACGTGTTGATATTGGTTCTAAAAGTTTCATGTATCCACTTGATAATATTATGTATGATTTAACAATTGACAAGGGAAACTCGTCGTTGGTATTTAATGAAGTTTGCGTCTGTTTCCAAGAAGTTGAGGAGAATAATTCGTCTGCTTCCATCAACTGTTCAGGTCCTATGTATGAATACAATGAACATGAGTATATTCTTATAGGAAACCATAGTTTGGAACTTGTTGAACAGAAGCTGCGAATTGATGAAAGTCAGTACTACTTTAAAGGAAATGTGGCTGTTATTTGTCATGATGAAATGGAACTGAAAGATTTTCAGTTTTTCAAATATGACGAGATTCAAGGCTATATTTCTATCGTTTGTACGGCCATATCTGTCTTTTTTCTTCTCGTTTCCTTAGTCATATTTGCCATGTTTACAGAATTGCGGACGCTTCCTGGCAAAATGACCGCAAGCTTGTCAGGACTGCTTATAATAGCCCAATGTCTTCTTTACCTCCCTCAAATGCATGTTGGTGTCTGCAAATATGTAGCTGCTTTTACCCATTTTTGCTGGTTATCAGTGTTCACATGGATGAATTGCATTGGTGGTAACATGGTAATCACATTCCATCCTACATTGATGCTGGCTCACAGAGCATTGAAAGAGAACAATGCGTTTTGGCGATATTGTGTCATTGCTTTGTTGGGCCCCCTTATATTGTGTGTTGTGCTTTTGGTTCTTGATGTAATTGAAGGTGATCATTACCATATAAGGTATGGTGAAATAAACTGTGTTTGGATGGGTGATCATTATGGATTTATTTTCGGATTTTTCGTACTCGTAGCCTTGACCATTGTTTTTAATATCATATGTTTTTGTGTTACTTTGTATGAAATTGAAAAATCAATGAAAACATCCGATGACATCACTGGTAGAAAACGTGATCGTAGCCGATGTCACATGTACATAAGGTTATCATCTGTTATGGGATTTTCGTGGATTTTTGGTTTCGTTGCGGTTTTCGGTGATATTCCGGTTTTATGGTACGTTTTTATAGTTTTAAATGGACTACAGGGAGTGTTCATATTCATTTCATTCACCGTCAATGCCAGAACACGTGGCTTATTGCGAACCTGGATATCAGAAAAGACATTTTCGTCGGTTGTCAGAAGCCCCGATACAGCGTGAAAATCGTAAAAGAGACATGGATGTTGATTGTATATCCCATATGATTTTATCTTGAATATGTTCCTACTTCCTTGGCATGTTGGCGCCTGGTGTTGATTTAAACCATAGGCGTTCATTAGTCATAACTGAAATTTTGTATCTCACTGCGATGGAAAGCTGTTGCTGACATGGATCAAAATTGCCCTGCTACGGCCTGTGGCAGACCATTAGAACACGATGGAGGGCGTAACTACTGTTTTTCTGAGGATCAAACTGGAGCAATTTTGTAACTTTGTGCTGCACTTCAGCAATGTGACATTAATTTTGAAGATAGAGAGTAAGGGAATGCTCATTCTTCCAGACAACTTAAGATGTGATGGGACGAACCGCTTACCAATAACTGTCAGCGTATAGCTATCGGCCAAAGTGGCATTGAATTATAAAATTCGGTTTTATTTTTTAATTATACGTTTCGATAGAAGTTTTTAATTAACATTTGAAAATCTTTATCATTTATATTTGAGTATTGTTAATTGAATGTCAATATATCAAATTTAGGAATAGAAATATTAAAATATAACTCGAACTATGCTGTTGCTTGTATTGTTAGTAAGTATACCCAAATTAAGTGTGAAATACTAAAATTGTATATTTTTGTAAATCAATGCATGTGAAGTCAATTGAGAGGATGCATATTCATTCCTATGGGAATTAGCAAGTACTCTCAGTTGTCAGTTCGACCTGAGCTTTAATTGAGGCCAGGGTAGGGTTCCCTGGATTGCAAAACTGTGAAACAAAACGAGGTAAATGATTACATGGTTATTTATTTGAACTCCATAGTCGCACTATCTGAATATGCAGTGGGGCAATAATACGTAACTATCCATTCGTTTAACCATACATAATGATAATTACAGACATCTTTCAAATCAAGTTTATTTACATTCAATGTCAATGACAACAGACGTCAATATTGCCCTGAAGGTCAATACATTGAACATTTAAAACATGTTGAAAAAGGAAGTCATTTTCACAATTGAAATCTTTTTTATGTTACCTTATAGATGAAAAACACCAATAATATTGGTTTGCTTTCAACACATTGACATGTAGGCACCATTTGAACTAGTTTTACCAAGAAATTTCACATTCTGTATGACAGAGTCATATTTGCACTTGTGTAATCATGGTAACTAGTATTGTAGAAGGGGGGGGGGGGGGTGAATGGCTCCTGAACAGCTCTCCAATTCAACTGCCAAGCCTCCCCTCAAGTAATGCTCATCAGGAATCCAGGGTTTGGATCAAGATGCTGGATAGTGGTTTCCGAAAGAAATCTAAGGACTAAGATTACACTAAGTACGTTTATTAACATTCACATAACTTCATAAAACGAACACATTTGACAAAGACATTACGAAAAATTTACAAATAAACATTCCCAGCTTATGAGTCCCTTACCCTTCTTTAGAACAGGTTCACAACTAGAGTGGAACGCTGAAGTTTCCGTAATAGAATACCTAGAGTTCACCCATCCCGGGGATAAATTTAGATCACAAGCCCAATAGTCAGATCATTACGGACTAACCATCTGTAAATACTTAAATCTGCGAGTGGAGTGTTGTAACTCCCAAAGAGACAAACTCACGAAGGTCCAGCCCACGACCGACTGACTAAATAATGGTTGGTTGGTAGATGACAAGTAAACGTTTGCTTCCGGCGGATGCTGATATCGCAAACTAGGAAGTTGTTGGTAGTTGGATTGGTTCAAATTGGATGATTCTGTGTTGTTGGTTTGGTTGTTGATTCTTCGTTAGATATGGTCGGGCCGAATGACATGGCGGTGAAACTCGACGAGTTCCATTATCGTATGCCAGTGGTCCGTGGGTGGAGCCAAAACATTCGGAATGGAGATTGGTATGGCGTTGGTTTCCAGGTACTCTGTCAATGGCTTACAAGCGGTTTTCAGTTCAGTTCCTTTGGATGCGACCTTATTAATATTAATTAATATTAATATTAATTCAATCTTGTGGTTATTGTTGGTTTGGTAGTTGTGGATCATTCTTCTTATTTCGGCAATAACTTCTGACCTGCAACTAGAAGAGGTGAGAAAACTAGATTGGAGGCTGCTTAGCGAGTCAGATAGAATTGCGGCATGCTCCGTGTAATTGACGGATAGCAATGCTACCGAGTCCCTAATGACAAGAAGTTCTGCTGTGAACACTAAACAGTGCGGGGGAATACTTTTACCAATGCGGATGCCTTTTGCTGGGATGTAAAAACCGTAACCTGTTGCTGCACTACTCTTGGAACCATCGGTGTAGATCTTCAAATGGTCGGCGTACACGGAATCAATAAGATCAAGAGTGTGAGCTCTTGCTCCTACTGGATTCTCGTGCTTGTTGGTACTCTGGATCAGCTGGGTGTTGACTGTCGCTTTGGTAATCTTCGAATACGGAGTAGCCGATAGGCGCCGTTCAAGGATCGTAACTTGGTCTAGCATGTGCTTTTTCAATAGATCAATGATCGGTTGCACGTAAGAAATACTCCGATTCTTCTGGTTATTTCCGACACGAGCAAATCTTCTGATTCTGAAATACGTTGGACAGCTTTCGGACAAATACTTAAGTTTCCCCAGAATTTGAGAGATAGTTCATCCTTCCGAAGAGAAGGTTTCTCTCCCACCTCCTGAAATAGCGCCTCATTCTTCTTACCTACGACTGCCCTGGTGGCAATACGTATAGCTTTCATGTGTAGAATGTCGAGTTTCTTCAGTTGAGTGTCACTTGCTTTACCATAATAATTAGAGCTTCTTTGTTTGCCCCCCATTTGCTCAACATTTAAGATTTTTGTAGACCGGTTACAGATATAATCAATGTGCGTACTCCAAGTAAGACACTTGTCAAAGTGTACTTCCAGGAACCTTAATCTAAACACCATTCAGTCTAAGGTCAATACTGTTGTGATCCTTCTTTCCGCTACAGAACAAATCGACGGTTTTAGCTTCCGAAATAATGAAGCCCCAGTCGTTTGCCCATTTGGCAACTTGGTTCAGAGCAGTTTGCATACGCCATTTGCCTTTATTAAAGTCAGTGTGACCGACTAAATAAAGCTGAAGTCTGTACTTTTATACCTAACGAGGTTGCGCACTGCACTTGTAAAGCGAGACATCTTTTCCCATTGGACCACGTTTCATAACAATTGCTGATCGGTCAATGTATCATGCACGGCTTTTGTATAACAAGTACAGCCCTATATTCTATAAGAAACCCTACGTCCGGTTAAATGTAAACAACAGGAGTTACGTTAGTTACTAAATATAGACAATTCGGGAATAGACATACAATTATATAACATATATACGCAAATCCCCTACAGTATCAAGAGACCGTATAAATATAATTGCATAATCAAATAATGAATAGAAGCAAGAATTTGCAAACAGTAAAGTTGTCATTTTAACTTTCAAACGTGGATAATTATTACTGATTGCTAAAAAAAATCCTGATTCTAAATCCGAGCTACGATTGGTCAAACGGATGGCGAACATGTCCCTTCATAACTTATTCCGAAAGACGCCTATCATTTGTCCCTTCATGAGAAAAATAGGCCATACTTACGCCACTAATGTATTGACCTAATAAGGAACTAAAATAAATCTTACACAATGACAACTAAAAACGCCCCATACTCCTTTAACATACTCCTTCATTATTATACGCTTACACTTAGTTTGGATACAAATTGTCGTTATGCGTCCATTTATCTGCCTATTCCGCTATTCAATAACTGCTAACCAAGAAGCTTTAAGTTTAATATTGAATATGTTAACGCTCACCCACTCACTCAGCAGAATATTTTTTTAAAATGTGAATTTGTACCATGGTAAGTATAATTATATGATAATTCCCTCTGAATTTCTATTCCTAATGGAACCTTGGGTGGTGAAAACAAGTTGAAAATGACCGAAACGGGTAGAATGATATTCGTAAGCTCAACTCATTGTCACTTACGCGTTTCTTTTTGTTCAGGAAACAACTTATATCGAGTCCAGCTAGCCTTTCCTGAAGACCACCAGTTTAGATGTACTTTATCAGACCAGAAATCAGAGAGGATTTCCTTTTATAGAAGTGATTCTACAGCAGCTGTTTGTTCTATAACCCCAGTTTGCAACAGGATTACTAGTTCTTCCAAATATTCTTGTGGTTGTTTCAATAATCGCATCGCGGAAAATTATTTATTAGTCCGAAATGTCAGCTTTTCTGATGCCGACCAGATTTTTTGGTATTGTGGAAACAACCCAATTAATGGAACAACAATAAATCTAGGTAAGTACAATGTACTAGTATGACCACTATCTAGAAACTAAAGACTAGCCGACTAGATAGCGTTGGAAACACTTGTTCTGGAAGCAAGTTCACCTCCAATCCAATTAGGTTACGCATTTTATAAAATCTTCACGAATAGTTTTCTAGACCTACTTAAACCCACCAAAGACGAAAAAATATTATGGCAGCCACCGAAAGCAAAGAGAAAAATACAGGAAAAATTCGTTAGAAAATTTCGGGCAATCCAGTCTGCATCCTACAGGCTTTCGCCCGCACGCCTTTCGCCTATAACTTAATAAACCTTTTTCTAATTTCGTATTACTCTATCTACATAATGACACATACTTAGTTATACTGCTTAATGTGTTATGTTTTTTTTTTCATCATGAATACAATGTATTTCAGTATTTTATGTATTTTCTGTGATTTCTACCTCCAAAACTACTGCCTGGAGAGAGGAGTATTGGATTAGTTTTTTATTAATTTATTTCAGGAATCAGAGGTGAGTAAAAACAAACGTAGGACAGTATTTCATCAAAAAAGGAAGTAAGGTTCGAAAAAAGTCCAGAATATCTAAGGTTTGTAAGCATTATTTCACAAAACAATAACGTTATTAATGCTCATCAATCTTTTACTTCTCGTCAACATTTCATAACTGAGAACCATCCTTATCATTTGATTCATCCGCATTACATATCTGCACACTATAACATTCAGCTTTCCAGATTCCAATTTCATTATTTACATTTGTACAATTGTATCATAAGCTTTCACTGTGGACAATCTACCAATTTCATCGCTATGCTATAACTAATTGTTATGTATGTAGATAACATTCATCAGCATTCAACGTTCCATGACGTCGTAAAACATAAAACATTACTTAGTAATTCATTATTTCACGATGAATAACTTACTCTCAAAATTGACTATTCATATCATATGCATTACTGTTGGCATGAGCTTTCAGGGAAAAAAACAATGGTTGAAGTTCGAATCCCAAGGATACAATCAACACAAGCTGCTTAAAGTCCAGTAGCTGACAACTCACTCAAGAATGGAAACTCAAATCAAATGGAAAGTAAATGATGCCATCAAGTATACAATTTATCTGAACACGAAGGTAGGAAATTGGCCTAAATACTGAAATACGAGCAGGGTTCAGATTTTAGTGTTAGGATTTAGTGTTAGATTTCATATCTCATAGGTAAATTCTTAGTGGCTCCCCACAACCATTTTGTTCAACATGTGTTCAAATTCCCCAGAGAGACAAACTATAAAACCTCGTCGTTTGAGATCATAGTGGCAAATATTGTAAGATGTAACGCATGTCTTAGACAACATTGCATACTGTAAGCAATCGAACTCCATATCATTTCGATTTCAGATGCCTGATTGGTGGATGTTCTTTGGAAGTTGGAATAAGTTAGATGAAGTTAGCTACATGGTGGAAAGAACTATGGTTATCAATGACAAGTTACGACATATTGTGTCAGCTTTTAACAATATTCAAGAGAAAAATAAAAAGTTCATACTCAATCTTTTTGTTCATCAAGTGGTCCTAGTGTAGGTCACGGGCCCCAGAATCCATCGATACATACTTAATTCAAAAGGGAATAATAACATAGTACTTTTCAAAACAATTAACAAGTGTCGTCAGTCTAATTATAATGAGACCAAACGTTCGTTCCATTTTTTATAGCTTTTTTTTTTTTATTAAAGCCACTTCAGTTAGGGTCTAACGACAGCCCTCATGATCGTCCGTCAAGTTAACATTTTGACCTTACCTGATAATCACTGCGTCACAAAGTGCCAGCGCTGGAGAGGATAGAAATTTGATTGGTTAAAGCAGAGTTAAGTCAGAGGAAATGTAGAAAAGGGGTAAACATGAGAATATATAGTGTGTTATACCTGGATATATTCCCTTAAATTCTGTTAATGTCGACCAGAGCCAACCCTTAAAGGAGATCAAAATATTTTTTATATGCCCACATTATAATGTGGTCGTATATTGTCGTCGCACCTGTCCGTCCGTTGGTCCGTCCACAATTTGCTTATGAACACGAAAGAGACTACAGTTCTTATCTGATTTTAATGAAATTTGGAGTGATCATTTATATTGATGAGATCTTGGTCAAATTAGAATCTGACGATTTTTAGATGAACGGATTTGAGTAATTGCCTTTGACCTAGTAAAAATGCGGCAAAATTTGTGTGTTAACACAGTAGAGACCACAGATTTCATCTGATTGAAATTTGAATCATCTATGACAATACGATCTTTATGATTTTTCGATGAATGGTTTTGGATTATTGCCCTTCACTGAATTCGGTGTTATCGTTTATGATAAAATAATGGAATTTGCCCTTGATATACTGAAAATTACTTGGCAACCACTTGTTTACTATTTACTCGTTTATCCGAAAAACAGCCCTTGGCTGCAATGAAATTTGAGAAATAGTTTGTTTTACAAAGAGTTAAACAAAACGGGGTAAATAATTACATCATTCCAAAATGCACCATTGTGTTTTTATCTCTACAACCGAGCTTCGAAAAATGCAATTTTTTCATTCCTCCTACCCACCTAAATGATGATTTTAAAAAATGGGTACTGGTAATTTGGGAAAGATCAATGCCAAAATGTTCGGCCGAAAACCATTTGGTAGAAAGGATCCTTACGTTGTTACCCTCGTAAAATATAGTTTATTTTTTTGTAGTGTTATATTTTAATGGTAATAACAACAGACGTCAATATTGCCCTCGAGTTCAATATCATGCATATATCAATCAACACTTTTGTTAAAAAGGAAGTTATTTTCTCTATTGAAATTGTGTTAGCTTATAGACATGGAATACCAATCATATCGGTTGGCTTTCAACTTTAAAAAAATGATTTCACATAAAAATGTCCAAACCACTCTTGTGCAGAATTATTAACATTAGAATTAGCTAATTATATCAACCAAATTTACGTAATAGGTACATTAAACATGTACAATAAATACTTGTACATAGTTAAAGAGGAAGTTCTTTTGTAATAATGGAGGAAATAAATTCTTTATAGTCAACAAAACGCCTAAAACCATCTTCTGAAAGGTAAAAGGTGAAGAAGTGGAAGATTTCACTAATACAAGCACAATATTGACACGAATTAATAAGTATTCATTTTGATATAAATGGTTACAGAGAACGCTTTATTGCTGGCAGTGGTAGCAACGGATTCAGATTCTCCACTCATCCGCTTTTGATGAAAGCAACAAGAAATTTTAACTGGGAAAGAAAAAATTGGTACAGAACCTGACAGAGGTCAGGATACCAATAAATTAACCCAATAAACCCTTGGCTATGGCCATAGAAGGGCACTGAGATCTTGAGCAAGCAATGAACCTCTGGACTGTCCGAAAGGGGAGTAGTATATGTCTTTTCGGATATGACGCATTTCACTTCTGCGCATGCGCAGCTTTTTCAATGCATCATATCCGAAAAGACACAACTGTTAAAATGTATTATAACAGACTCCCCAAACTGTAATATAACAGACTCCCCAAACTGTATTATAACAGACTCCATATAAATTACACAGACAAGAATCACTAATAATAATACAGTATAAAATAACCGCATTAAAAATGTCTTTAATTTTAAAACACGAACACAAAAAATTCGAAGGAGACGGTTTCTTCTCTGCGCTAACATCTCTCATCCCCAAAGTGGCCAATTTTGTCTCAAACAACAAATCCCTCATTTCCTCAGGGGCGCAAGCTCTTGGATCTTTGGCAAAAGCAGGAGTAAATATTAGCGATGCAGTGAAAAAATCTGACGAACTTAAAGAACTACAGCTAATAAGAGAACTAAGAAACAAGAGACTAGAACGACAAGCCTTAGAAAAACAAGGAAAAGGGTTTAAAATCATTGGATAAAAATGGCAAGCAAAAATTACAGATTGGATCCAATCTTTCAATTGTATGATCCGATTCAATATTCGTTCAACAAGAAGAAAGAGGATTATATTATCATCTCACCATCAGTAGGGACAAAGACCCAAATAAACGACGGAGGAAGAGTTACCTTTGAAATTAATTCGTTGTCCAATTGGTTGCTGCTTTCCGATGCCCATTTCCGATGCGATTTCAAAATCAAAGACGCCACTCAGAATCGAATTCCACAAACCAACACACCTTTAGAAAACAACTTCTTTCCGCCTTTATTCAGCGAAATGGTTTTGGAAGCTGGTTCAAATCCGATAGAGACCATAAAACACCCCGGCGAGCGCTTCAATACAACAATATCGTCGAGAACAACAGATGGGGTAATTACGTAAATTGGAAGTTGTATCCTTTATTTGGTCTTTTGGAACACAGAAAGGTTTCCATAGGTTTACCGTATAAAATTCATTTGCAAAGAGAAATCAACGACAACAAGATATTCTTTGGTGAAAACAACTCTGACGCAAAATTGGAAATAACGAATATCCAACTTTACATACCGGTAATCACTCCTTCCGTAGAAGTGGAAACGAGAATATTCAACTCTTTAACCAAAGACATCGAAATTGCTTTTCTTCGTCGTAACACGGTAGGTAGCATGACTTTAACGGGAGAATTCACCACGTGGCCAATCACCAACACCGTCAAACCAGCGAGATTTCTAATGGTCGGTTTCAAAAACGTGCCCGACTCTCAGACAAACAACAACATTTTCAGAGTGGCATTGAACCATACTCAAGATCCCATCATTCGCAAAGTTCAAGTCAGATTGAACAACGATAATTATCCCAATCAACCTTTGACAATTGATCCTTCCAAAAAAGATTATAACGAATTGTACAGAAACTATAAAAACATGTGCGAATTGTTTGGAAATACGCCTCAGTTTGAATACACAGATTTTTCACTCAATCATCCAATCTTTTGTTTCGATCTGTCAGCTCATCAAGAAGATCTTTTCAAAACAGGGGTAAACATAAATATTCACATCGATAAAACACAAGGAGATGTGACCGGCTACTGTTTATTGCTGGAAGAAGCAAAACATTGGATTAAAATATCAGATAGAAGAATGATAAGAATTGAATAAAAAAACACCCTTTAAAAATGAAACCAGTTATGAAAATAATAGAAGCTATGGAAACGAATTCGCCGACTCTAATAACTTACAACGGTAAAAAAGTGCATATAACCCAAAAGATTATCGATAAATACAAACATTGCAAAGTCAGAGACGATATAGACTTGGAAAGAATTGATGAGAATTTAACTAAAAAAAGGTGGATTTTTACCTTTCTTACCTTTAATCTTTGCTGGTTTAGCTGCAGCCGGTGCAACTGCTGGTGGGGCTGCTGGGATAGCCAAAGCTGTCAACGATAAGAAAGCTGAAGCCGCTGCAAACGCCGAAGCACGTAGACACAATTTGGTAATGGAAAGAGAAGCACGAGGGGGTTCGGGAGTAGGAGATATATTAGGGACGGTTAAAGAATTCGGACAAAGATTTGGCGAAGAAACCAAGAAAACCGTTAAAGAGGGATTAAGCAAATTAATAGATAAAATCGACACCGGAGAAATGAAGGTCAAACACAAGGGCGACGCCATATTTTTAAAAAACATACGTTCGGGCGAGGGAATCTTCCTTTCAAAGTATAAAGGCAACGGGGTGATTTTTGGTACGAAAATGTAATAAACAAAAATGGGCAAGAAATTTAATCATTCGGAAATATTTCCTAATAACCCAATGCTATATGCGGTAGTTCAGGTTCTGGGAAAACTCATCTCACTTTTAACATGTTGACAACACCAAACCTTTTAGATTTCGATTCTCTGTATATCTACACAACAACACCAGAGCAATCGTATTATCAATTCCTCAAAGCTTTGGAATATTTACCAAAGAAAGACGTTCAAGACATATTTCAATATTACGAAGAAAACGAAGAAGAAGTGGAAATAAAAGATATCATAGAAAACTTCACTAAATCAAAGAATCCATCTTTCAATCCAACGGATATAAAAGTTTTTCTTACGAAAAATGTTAATGATCTAGACTTGTCTAATATTGATAGCAATCGAAAGAACTTAATATTGTTTGACGACTGCGTAGCGCAAAGAAATCAAACTGTTCAACAAGAATTCTTCACCAAAGGAAGACATCACAACTGTCACTGCATATACCAATCCCAATCTTTTTACGGGATGGATTCTATGTTCATTAGAAAAAATGCAAATTGTTTTTTATTATTTGAATTAAACGATAAAGATTTATCTCAAATCATTCAGTCTATAAATCACGGAATGGACAGAGATACATTTAAAAAGGTTTGTAAAGCTCATGATCATGGATATGTATTTGTAAATACTAGAAAACCTGCGGGAGAAAGAGTTATGATCGATATATGTTAATTTTATTTTTTTAAAAATGAAGGATTGGAATAATTTTTTAAAAAGAAATAGAGAATATATCAAAGCTAAGAATAAAATAAAGACCCAAGTTGAAAATAACAGATTACAATAACTCGGATTAACGGAAAATCTACAGACTCTATTTCAACCCATATTAAAATCTCAAGAGGATATTAAAAAGAAATTAGCTTTAGAACCCACACCTCATATAGGACCCAAACCGATTGAATATAATGGTATTATAATTAGGACATTAGATGATATAAAACGTCTTTTTTCAAACCCTGACCCAGATTTACCAAAGAGTATTTCACCAAACGTTGATAATCAAGGTTTTAGATGGATGAATAATATTTAGTCCAAATTCCCCTTTATTCAAAATCGACACAAAAGACTTTATATTTACATTAACGAGAGGGTTAATAGATTTAATGAATGGCAAGGATTTTGAAATTGCCGATTACAAGGATTTAGTTGCATACTCAAAATTTCTACATGCAATAAGAAAGTCAGGACCCGAAACAAGAAGATTGAAAGAAGTTGATTTTTGTATAACAAGAGTTATTGAGGAAGAGAAATCAGACGATTATGCAGAAGATTATCCACCAATCATACAAGAAATAGACGAATTCGATGATATGGTGGCATCTGGACAAGGTATAACGTTTTTATCCGACGACAATAAAGAATTGCTTAATAGATTAGAAATAATATTAGCGGCCATGAAAGAAGGTCATCGATCGGACAGACAATACAACGAAGTCAATGCCATATTAAAACGGCTTTTGGAGAAAAAAATCATCACTAAAAAAGACTATATAAACGTCATTAAAAATGTCCAATAAAGAACAATTGTTCGTTATCACCTCGAATAAACCAGACATCAAATTGTCTCTAGACTACGAGTATGAACTCGATCGCAATAAACAGTACGAACTGGGATTAAAGTATTTCTCCGTTTACAATTCCATTAGAAACATCAACGAAAAAAAACAATCAACTAAAAATAACGACGGATAACGGAGTTACGTTCGAAACCATAAGCTTACTACCGGGGAGCTACGAATACGTAGCCATCAACGATTACCTATCCGAATATGCAGGAAGCGTGAACGGCAAAAACAATATCGAATTCGAAGGTAATTTGAATCTGAACAAAATAAAACTGATCTTGAGAAATAACAGTCAAGTCGATTTCAACGTAGAAAATTCGTTGAATGCGTTACTAGGGTTCGATAAACGAATATACGCGCAATCGACATTGGCGCCGCACAAGGCCAACATCGAGAACGACATCGATGTGATCAACATTCACTGTAATTTGATCAACGGTGGATTTTTCAACAAGCACAAACGCCAAATCATATACAGCATACCTACTTTTACGGTGCCGATCGGATACAGAATTATAGAGAAACCGTTTCAAACGACCTATTTACCAGTCAATTCTTTCATGATCAAAGATATAAATCTGGAAATCAAAGACGGTAAAAACAGGTTCATAGACTTTGGCAACGAAGAAATTGTCATTCAACTTCATTTAAAACAATCTTCATTCTCTTCTTGATTAGAAAGATAATCGAAACATCAAATTCATAGTTTTCGTCAAAACTATACTCATCTTTGTCGTTGTAAGGATACATAATTCCTTCACTGTTTGGTGGTTTTCTTTTAACATTATTCAAATAACTTCTAAAAACTTTAGTTTGTTTATCATTTGGAATAACTACTCCATTGGTGAAACATTTTTTCCACGGTTTATTAAATTCGTTCGACACATCATGTCCGCTTGCTAACTGAACGTAATCTTCTACACTTATCTTATCATTAGAATAACCTTTAAACGTTTTCTTTTCTTTTAAAACACCGTCAGAAGTCAAAACGATGTTGTATTTGACTTTTGGTGCTAAATATAAACCAAATATAATTCCACCGTCACCGTAATCGTTTTTACCTTTGCAATAGTCTTTTTCGGAGACCAAACCAACTCTGTTTAGTTTTTTCCAATTTTTGGATGAAATGTACAAACTATCGGTGTCGGTATAGTATATTTCGGGTTTATAAAATCCATTTATGACGTGAATGAAATTGTTCATTATTTTTTTACTGTGAGATAAAACGAATGATCCCAAATGACTAGGTGTTTGTCGTGTAGATTTACTGTCTTCGGTCTCTTTTTCTTCAATTTCCGTTTCAACAATATATTGAGTATCATTAATTTTCTCATAGGTTTTAACGCGTGAATCAAAGTTGGCCTGTAAAGTTGCTTCATTCCATAAATGTCTAGTTGTGAATATATCTTTCTGAATTGATTTACCATACAAGGAATTACCTAATAATTTCATGGAGTTACTACCCACGATATTACCTTTTCGTTTATATTTATTTCTTAAATCTCTCAAAATTAAAATATAATCTCTATAGGGTGGAGTTTTAAAATTTTCTTCGTAAACTATACCATCTAATATTCTAATAATTCGTCCACCGGCTTTCACTATTTCTTGAATATCGACCGATGTTAAAACGTCGTGACAGAAACCATTTCTGAACCTGATTTTGTTACCAGTTTCCTTTTTACCTTCTTTATTCGTGAAAGTGATTTTATCTTTAGCTGGTATCGGTTGGAAGAACATGTTTTTGGGATAGTCAAACCACACTGTTAAAATAGCTGTTCTAGGTCTGAATTTTTGTTTATTGAAGAGTTTTACAAATTCTTTTTCTTCTTCTGGTAGAAACGGTCTTCCACTTTCCGCTCTCGGATATTCACTGTCTAAATCCGACATGGCGGAAGCGTATAAACCGTTAGCATCAAATGCCATTAGTTTAGTACATTCTATTTTTTTAAGTCTCGAATGAACCTCCGTTTTGTCTTTTGTGCTTGCGCTGTATTCTTTGAATAAATCAATTAGGTTATTACTTTCAAGTTCTGTATATTCCTTTAATACGTTACAAATTTCATCCATTTTGTTCGTTTCAAATGATTTTCTATTTGCGGAAACTCTTCCTCCTTTAATAGATCGTCTGATAAAATTTCTTATAAAAGGATTAGTGTGTGAATAAACTTTTTCTACGTTTTCTTTTTCGGTATGTTTCGCAACCATTCTAGTAGTTTCATACCATTCTTCTTCCACCATTTCTTTATCGTAATGATATAAATAATACCAACCCTTTAAAGATAAAGATGGAGCCGTTAGATTATTGGACATATTCTGGTTTACAACTTCTTTCGTCACTTGGTTGTATTTTATTCAACAAGCACCCAAACAGAGAGTATCTCTCTTGGCGTAAGGTTCCCATTCGTGTCCGAATTCCTCCCAGTTGCCTTGCGTGTATTTAGCGATATCTACGTCGGCAATCTTTCTCAAATTCGCGGGGAGATTGGAAGAATTTCCCCATGCAGCCAAACTAGAGGATTCGTGTTGATAGGAACACGTGAAATTAATATGTTGTAAATAATTACCCTTTATTTCTTTCTGTCTTTTCCATTTTTTCTGTAAATCTTCATCCTTGTATGGATTAGATAAAGGAAAAGATAGAATTCCTCTGGGTGTTTTTAAAGGGCAATGCGTTAGTTTTTTTGCATTTTTAAGCACGATCCAGTTGTCGAATCCACTGCCGTTATGAGAAATTAATATTAATCTCTTTCTATCATATTGATCTAAATATTTCAACATTTGATCAATGCAATCTGTACCTACAAATATTTCTACTACATTCATTAGTTTATCATAAAATTCTTCTGGAATGGGATCTGACGGCTTTAAATCTGGAAAGAGATTATTTATTCTGTTTAACATTTTCCTTAGTTTTTCTAAATTAATTAAAGTGCAACAATATGGAATTGCTCTTCGCGTGTCTTTTTCTGAATACGTTTCGCGATCCCAAGCGAATAACGCATCATCACTCATACTCGAAAGCACGTTTAGTTTGAGGGGTGAAACCTGTGTTACTGCGTTATCGTCTCTACACGTTTTCCACACCTGTTCGTAATTGTCTTCTATTTGTTGAATTCCCAAACTTTTTTGGCTTCTTCTAATCAAACAGAAATGCGAGTTGTGTAAGTAAAAAACCCAATCTAATTCATCGTGAACGTCTCTGGGATGAAAATGTCTGTTTTTGGGATTATAAATTTGAAACGAAGTGTTGAATTTCTTGTTGAATTCCTTCATTCTAGCACAAGTCATCACTCCTTTTCTATTTGCTTTTGAAAACCCGTTGATGTATTCTTGAAATTCTCTCGTGTAGTCTTCGTTTAAAACACGATTGATGCATTTGATAAAACAGTGACCATCTGTAGGTATGTAGCAATTTTCGCCTTCGTATTCATTGATCTTTTTAAGTAGATCAGTTCCTCCTCTACCAACTCTCGACCTTTTTATTTCTTGGAAATTGTCTTTCATTAAAATTATTTTTCCTGTAAAATACCAATCGGAAGCATCCGATTTTTTGTCCATATTTGAAAAGATATTGTGAAAAGTTTTGGCATTGAAACCGAGGAGTGACATGTATTGTCTGTGATTCCCTTCCTCGACTATCTCTCCATCTATTTTAATTTGTCCTTTGAATGTTTTAAATTTATCAGAGATTGCCTTGATAACATCGGAAAATAGGGCGTTTTCTATCAATGTTTCATCAAGTTCGATTTTATTCATATTTTTTTAAGTATATATTTTTGATTATTTCTTTATTTTGACCGCTGATATTTCTGTATGGAATTTGTCCAAAATTTCATTGAATTCTTGTAATTCTTCAACTGTTATGTTCTTGTCTTCTCTCGATCTTTCGAAAAAGATGTACAATTGATTAAGATACATATTCAAGATATCCGTTTTCTTTTTATAATGAGCTTTCTTTTTGCTCGTGAAACCTTTAGCAATCAAGCCACAAGATGAAGTTTGAATAGCAGTAATTGTGGCTAATACAGTTGGGACAAGTACAGGAACCATTAATCCACCAGTCACGGCCGTTGCAAGTGTTGTTCCTATCGTTAGAACTACACTCGCTGTTTTGAAAACAGAATCGATTCTACTCCATGTTTTCCTGCATGAATTGTACTGTCTTAACTTTATTTTCAACTCTTCTTGTTTGTCTATCATGTATTGTTGTCTGCTTTCGAGTTCCATTTTTTAAGTCGTTAAATTAAGTGAATTTCCGATAAATAGAACCACGGAATATCCCATAGAGCGTGGTCGTTTGGCCTAGTATTCTTAAATATTCGGGTATTAAAAGGAAAAACATTTACGCGTACTAACGACATTTCTTTTTTCGTATGGTCCTCTTTAAGATGATAGGAATATTCTATTTTTTCTTTTTCGATGTTTATCTTGGCTCTAAAAATATAACCACCAGCATGAAGGATGGAGTCGGAACCTTCGGCAAACGATAAATGTACTATAAACTCTCGTTCTTGTTGACTTTTATGAACATCGATAGAGGTGTATTTTTCACCTAAAGCGAAATATAGTTTTACGTATTCAAAGTCTGTTGTTCGTAAAAACTCGTGACTGCTCGATTCTATTTTTCCGTGTTTGTGTAAGCGTGGTGGAATTTTGTCAATGTTGGTTGATGGTGGATTTTCCGTCTCCAATATCATATCCAAATCTTTGATTCCAATGATATCCTTATCATTTTCTACTTCCATTTTAAAGGTGTCTACATATTTACCATTTTTCGTTTCAATTTCCTGATCCCTTTTATCAATCAAACGTATATTCTCCTCCAAATTACCATCATTGAATAATGAAATATGTTTGACGGCCTTACCGGTTTGTTTGAAGACTACTTTATTGACTTTAACCTTCATGGGAAACTCTATTTGAATCAGACAATTACCTCGAAAAGAAAACTCTTGCGTTTCGCCGATATCGAATACGTTTTTAGGTTCTCCGTATGCGAGAGAACCCACTTTTATTTCTGCTTTGAATCCGTATTTGTTTGATTTATAAATTTGGTCTTTTCTATCGAAGACAGTGTCACTTTCGAATGGTAGATTGAAATAATACGATTTGTCCGTGACAATAGCTTCTAATTTGCTCAACTTTTTCTCTTGTCTCAAAAAATCGTCATGAATTCTAGATACCAAAAGATTGACCTGTTCTTTAATATAATTTTTCATATCATCTCGAAATTTATTTTGAAGAAAGTTTTTAATCACACCCACTTCTTTTTCTAATTCGTCCGTGATTTTAGTATCCAAAGCAGTCAATTGTTGTTTCAACGTATCTTTGTCAATGGGAAGTGTGTTAATTATATCTTGAACATCTGATTTTTGCTTCGCGATCTTTTCGTTCAAATTGGATATCGAATTTTGTAACTCGGTTTTGTCCGCGGTCTTGTCTAGTTCTGCTAGCAATTCGCCAAGTTTTCTTTCCAAAGCGGTTAGTTTTCGTTTCAATCTATCCTCGTTTACATTTGGGTTGTCTATTAAACGTTGGACGTCTATTTTTACCT